GAAAACGAAACGTATCTTTTAAAGGTTGACTGTATTGCCACGCTTTGGTAGCGTGGTAGCACGTGAATGGGGCCTTGGCGTGCTGGTCAGGGACTGTTAGAACCACCTTGGGTGTACCCAGGACGGGGAGAAAGTGGACCTTAGCTTGTGCAGGGCGAGAGGCTGCACAAGCAAAAGCTGGCTTGGGCCGAACCCGGCAGTTTGTGTAGAGGCGATCCAGAGAAGACCTTCGCTTCTCAATGATCAGGGCTGAAAAAGGGCCCGGCTGGCCAGGGGGAGGCAGGGTGAAGCACAGGCCACAAAGCCGAGTTCTCAGGTCAGCCAGGCTTGAGAAAGGCTGCGGAGCTGAGCTGCTGCCTGGGGGTGTCCCTTCTGTGGTTGTCCGGCTGGGAAAGAGACCCTACACGCTGCCGTTTGGTGTCACTCGCTATATTTAGTTCCCAGTAGCTTTGCCATTAATCCCTTGGACCTGATGCCATTTGGGTGAAGATCCTGCATAAATCCCACCGGGGAGGCAGAATTCATCCCTGGCTGCTTTTTGCTTCAGGGGGAGAGACCCCCCCCTTCCACAGGCTTTTGGCTACGCCAAGGCAGGGCTCAGATCCCGCCTGGAATGAGGAAGCTGAGACAAGGAGCATCCCCGCTCCTCTACCCTGGGACTCCAAGCAGACATCTTCCACTAAGATGCAGAATTGGGTGGAGACCACAGGAACAGTGAGGGCAAAGAGAGCAGCTGTGAGGGAGTGATGTTGTCCCTTTCACGGGTTCCCATCTTGACGGGGGTGGGAGGGGTGGAGGGGACCTGATCAGAGGCACTCCCCTTGCAGAGAGAGGCGGGTCTGGTGACTTGGAGGCAGCCACGGTTCAGGCAAGGGGATGCTCTGGAGGGGCACAGGTCTGCACGCCAGGTCTGCACATCTATTTTGTTTCTTTTTTCCATATTATAATAAACTTTTATTAACCATTGCATTCATTAAAGCTGGACTCTGGGGATTTAAGGAATGTACCTATTTGCACAACTGGGGCCCGGTCTGGCAGAGAGGATTCTAGAACAATGCCTTCCAATATGGTAGCCACTCGTGGCTATTGAGCACTTAAAATGTGGCTCGTCTGAATAGAGATACAATATGAGTACAAAATGCACATCAGATTTTGAAGACTTACGATGAAAAAAATAGAATGTAAAATATCTTATTAAAATTTTGATTACATGTTGAAATCATGATTTGGGTATATTGGGCTAAAGAAAATATATTATTAAAATTAATTTCACATGCTTTTTACATTTTATTTATTTATTTAGAGACAGAGTTTTGCTCTGTCACCCAGGCTGGAGGTTGGTGGTGAGATCACAGTTTATCACAGCTTCGAACTCCTGGGCTCAAGAGATTCTCCTTCCTCAGCCTCCCAAGTAGCTGGGGCTACAGGCACACGCCACCATGCCCAGCTAACTTTTATTTTTTTATAGAGATGGGGTCTTGCTATGTTGCCCAGGCTGGTCTTGAACTCCTGCCCTCAAGTGATCCTCCACCTTGGCCTCCCAAAGCACTGGGATTACAAGTGTGAGCCACCTCACCTATCACTTTTTACTTTTTAAATGTGGCTATTAGGGAATTTAAAATTACATATGTGGCTCATATAATATTTCTATTGGAAAGTGCTGTTCTAGAAGTCCCAGGGTGACCTTCAGCAACTCCAAGGTGGGTGAATGGCCAAGATGTGGAAACATCACCAGAATGAGTTTGTTTAGCACACCAGCATCCCTTGGGGAGTTGCAGAAATAGATGGATCAGAAAACCTATTAAAGATCGGCCTTGTTGTGGTTTGGGCCACATCAGTTGGGTATAAAAGGGAAGAGTGATCTCAGGGGGCTGGACGCATGGGTTAAGCCTAGGAGCAAGAGAACCAGTGATTTCCATTTTACACTAGCACCTTAAGAAAGTTGCACCAAGACATCAGTGCAGAAGCCCAAGACAGGGCTGAGGAGTGAGAAGTGTCCCAGGTGTAACCCAAAGCAGTTTCTAGGCTCAGCCACTAACCAGGTGGCTCCATTTTAGGGCCTCAGGAGTTTGTTCACAAAGACCCTGTTAGATCATGGCTATGTTGTATGGATTTTTGTATAATACCGTAGGTCAAATCACAAATACCTATGTGTAACAATTCCATATTGAAAGAACATGACATCACTCAGAGCAGCAGACACTGTTGGCGCCCTGCCCAGGTCCTTTTCTGGTTGTGTGAGCCCATTTCCCGGCTCCTGTGACTTTGTTCCTAACCACAGCTGTGATCTTCCTCAGGTGGTTGCCTGTGGGCTACTGATGCCTCCTTGCCCATTCAGAGAGCCGAAGTCCCCAGAGCCAAGGACCGCCTGGTGCAGGTGTACCAGGACTCGGCCTCCACGTGGAATGGCTCTGCAGTGCCATTTGTGCTCCAGAGCTCTCCAGGGCTCTCCAGGGATCGGGCTGAGGCTTCACCTGAAATCACACCCTTGTTTGGCTTCTTTCCCTTCCCTGTCCTGCTCCCTCAGTTCCCATGCTGGCTTCTCCTGGAGGAACTTTCTTAATAAATCACTTGTTCCCAAGTGCTCATCTCGAGGTCTGCTTTTCGGGAACCCCACCAGACAAACATAGTTAGACTTTATTGTGGGTCTTGCTCTTGACGTTGACCACTGAGTGTGTATGGGATTCCAACCCTAGAGATACCCTTGCTGAGAGCCCAGACCCTGCACCCGGGCCAGCAGGGGCTGCAGGATCAGGAGAGGGCCCATGTGTGGCCTGCCTCGCCCCCAGCCACGTCTACGAAGCAGCAAAGAACATCACGCCAACAGCCACTTGACTCCCCCTTGGACCATTTTTTTTTTATTGCTCTTTTCTCAGGCTCTTCCCCACACATCTTTGATCTCCATCACGGCCTCTTTGCCAGAAAGTTGAAACTATGTTCTGCTTCTTGCCATCTTCACAGCCCCTGCCCTCTTACATAAAACGTGTCCAAATAAAGATGGAAACAGGAACTTAGCTGAGTTTTGCAACACAGATGCGTGTTCTAGGCCTACGTTTATAGAAAGTGGGGGTGGGGAAGAGCGATGAGTCCACAGGGGCAGGTCCACACCAAGGGTCGTCACACTGGGTGGGCAACTGGGATGGAAGCGGGTGTCTGAGTCCTGGGGGCTCCAGAAACATCAGAAATTACTGACCTACCAACGGGGAGAGCTTTAGAAAAATCTATAAAGACACACTGTCTCCACACGCGGGGCACTCACTTCCCCTAATGATTAGAAAAAAATCAAAGAAAGCCCATAAACCCACAGTAACCAAACACACACACATGACCAACTAAGTCTCCAGATAAACACCCTCAAATAGGCACTTGGTGTTTGCAGCTCTGGGGCTGGAGAGAAGATCTGGGGCTTTGGCCTCCAAAGGCGGGAGTCACTGTCCCCAGAGCAGGGACAACAGCTTCTGAAGGTTTTGGGGACTGGGGAAGGGGACCTGTTTAAAGAAGACCTCCCCTCCCATTTCACCAAGACAGGGGCTTGCAGGAAGCTTTGTGCCCTGTGCAATTCCTGAATATAGTGGACTGGCATTTCTAAAGAGCACATCACTGAAGGGGCAGATGCTGGCCATTTAAACATGGGCTTTGCATATTGGAACTGACTGATTCATGCAGGGAGGGACCAGGTCCAATTTGCTACGGACCACTGCATTCACAGAGCCGAACACTGTGCCTGGCGCTTAGCAGGCAGGCAACAAATGTTTGTTCAATGGCTGAACGAAATGATCCAAAATGAAAATCCTGTTCCCCCAAGACTATAAATTTATCACCTTTTCATTGATTATAAGTTGGTTGGTTCTTTTTAATCTTCAAAGTGGAATTATAATTTACTTATTCTCCTGGTCCTAAAGGCACTTTAAAAAATGGAAACTGAGTCTTTTCAGTTGGAGCCAGGGAACAGATCCGGACATGTCCGAATGAGAGGGTCTTTGGCAAATGCACGGGTGAATTTCAGTGGGATAATCAAACCGTCTCTGAGGCCGGCAGCTGGCCCTGAACTGGCTGTTGGGTTGGAGGGCAGGCCAGGTCCTTATGTGCGCTGTCGATGTCTGGGGAGGAGGTCATTTATTATGCCCTGGGGACAATCTGAATCCGGCTGGTGGTGAAGAAGTTCTTGCCTAGCTGCCTGGAGAGACGGCACACGGATAGAAGTCGAGGCAGTGGGAGGAGGGAGGTCGGGGACTTACAGAGACTGAAGGGCCAGGCCAGAGAAGGTGGCTATAGCTGGCTGGGGCATCCTTGCCTACACACCGCACTCAGGCCACAGGGATGCCGGTCTGGGGAGAAACCCGCATGCATGTGGGGAGCCTACATCCAAGAAAAAGGGGCTAAAAGCATCTTGCAAATGAGAAACCTGCTCTGACGAAATCTACTTCCAGGGAAGGTTCTAAGGTAAATGATTGGACCCTCAGGGAGTGGGGAGCGCTAGCCAGCGGTGCCTACGCAGCAGAGAGAAAGACAAAGGGTTTGAGAGAGGCCGGTGAGGAATGAATAATTGGCAGTGGCCACCTAGAGCCCCGAGGGAGGTGGGTTTGAAATGACAATGGCAGGTCAAAGTACGTCTGGGGTCCCAGGGTCCCTTCTTATGTGTTCTGCCTTGACCATGGGGCATTGGAAGAACTGGCAACCCCAGAATCTCCCTCCCTTCTCCCCACACTCAGTGTTAGACTGGAGACTAAGAACTCTTCGGGGAATGGTTTGGGTACAGGGTTGGGTGTGTTTGGTTTCTCATGCCAGGGCTACACAGACACCGGCCCAGCTATTCTCAGGAAGGACGGAGTTGAGGCTCCCTGGGGATGGCTTTGGGGGACACTGAGGCCCTTCTCAGGGAGGGCAAGGCCCAGATTCTCCAAGTCCCACCCTACTTCCTGAAGGTCTCCCCGTGGGGCAGAAAGGCTCTGGGCACGAGGGGTCTGGAGAACTCCGGGGGAGGGAGCACCAGGGCCCCTGCAGGTCACGGCACCATGTGCCACCACTTGAAGGCGAAGGGCTTCCTGCGCACGTTGGTGCCGCAGTGGACTTCCCCCAGAAACTTGTGGTAGGCCGAGATGTCGTCGATGAAGGTGCAGTAGAGGCCCAGGGGCTCCAGCAGGGCGCGCACGTGTGTCTCCAGGCAGCACACGTCCTCAACCTGGGGCCCGAACGGCTTGGGGATGCCCAGGTCCTTGTCCAGTACGATCATGTTCACCTGTGAGGGGATCGCCATGGCGACAGCTCCATTTAGTGAGTTCCTACCACGTGCCTGGCTCCGTTCCAAGCTCGCTGAACCCGCACAACAACCCTCTGAAGTACATACTGTGATCATCCCCTATTTATAGATAAGGAAACTGAGGCACCGAGGCGGCCGAGCAACTCATACATGGCAGAGCTGGAGTGCAAAAGCAGGCAGTCAGCCTCTGCATGTGTGTGTGTGCAAAAGCATGCACATGTGTATGTACATGTATGCACACACAGCTATGTGTGCTTGCATCAGGGTGTACATTTACATGTGTGTATGAATGTATGCACACATGTGGGTACGTGTATGTGCATTGGTGTGTACATGTATATATGTGTGTGCACATGTATATACATGTATATGTATGTTTTTCTGTGTATGTGTGTGCTGTTCTACCCTCTTTCTCTCCCTTGGAAGACTCCCCTGTATGTAACATGAATCCCTCCTGTACATAAAGGACTTTTGTCCTTTTACAGAGCACTTTCCTATCTGTTAAGGAGAAGGATTCCTGCTACTCGAGTGAGGCAGCTAGGACAAGCATGTCGCCCCTAGGAGGAAGAAGTGGAGGCCCAGAGAGGGCAAGTGCCTGGGGTGAGGCCACACAGCGGCTCAGCCAGGACTGGGACCTGGGCCTCCCGATTGGACAGCCTCAGCCAACGGGTCCCTCTGGATCCAGCTGCCCCCTACCTGGTGCAGGTGAGGGTCAGGGGCTGGAGGGCCTCACCATGTTTGGGAAGAAGGCTCTGGCCTGGCGGCCCTCGTCCATCTTGAACAGAGCGGGCAGGTCAATGATGTCATCCTCCGTCAGTCCCAGCTCCTTCTTGAGGATGTCGCGGTTCCAGTCCAAGCAGCGCTGGGTGGGGGACAAGGGGATGACCGTGGGTTAGGGGACACACACCTGCCACCTTGCCAACCCCATCCTGTCTGCAGCATCAGGCCAGGTCCCAGCACTCCGGGGAGACTTCCAGCATCCAGCTGGCACCTCTGCCACTGCTCCCAGGCCCCTTCCACTGGGGCTTGGGGAAGCAGAGATAGCAATAACCGGGCCAAGGAAGGTCACAGAAATAATAGCAGCAGCTGTCATTTATGGAGCACTCCCTAGAGCCAGAGCCCATGCTCTGTGCTCCCCACACAGCATCTCAGAGACTCCTCAGGCCACCCCATGGGGTGAGAATAACACCGATGATGCTTCTGGTGATAACAAAAGCTGATAAGCACAAGTGCTTGGCACTGTTCTAAGCGCTTCACGTGGATTACTTATTTAAGCTTCAGCCCCGTGATGTGGACAGTATTGTCGTCCCCTCTTTAGAGATGAGGGAACCAAAGACAATCTTCATGAGTTGTCCACAGCCCTGCAGCCAAAAGTGGAGGGCCACAATGTGACCTCAGATCTATCCGATGCCAAGAAATGACCATGGAGGGGACAGTTATAATGAAGTCAACTTCCAAATAGCCAGCGAGGCATTCTGTGAACTTTGGTGCGCCTTGCACTGTCTCCGCTGCACCCATTCTACCCCCTGCCCCCATGGTGTCCCACCCCCCACCTCCAGGGGAAAGGTAACTAATAGACTCTTGCCTCTGCCTCCTTGCCCCAGTGATTGGCTCAGGCATGGGTGGCAACCCAGGATTAATCCGATCAATATGGAATTTCTGTGGCCACAGTAATTGGTTCAGGTTGGCCTAATCAGTGAGCTGCAAGTTCTTGGTCAATTGTTGGGGGCATATAAGACCTTTCTCTTTGAGGATAGTGTGCTGGGTAGATATAAGGTCTTGAATTGTTGCAACCATGTTCCAACCACAAGAGTACCTGCAGAGCCCAATAAGTGTAGAGAAATGGAGTTGGAGCCCTGATCAACCTGTGCCTGAAATCCACACCACTGCTGGACTTTACACTTACATGAGCCAATCATGCCTTTTTGTGTAAACCGGTTTGAAGTGAGTTTTCTGCTTTCTAATTTTTTAAAACTTCATCCTGTAAAGTATGCCCATGCAAATACATAGAGATTTCATTCTTAAAAATATGACTGGTTTCTACATCTGGATGCAATCTTTGAGACTTAGGGATTCAAAAGCAGAGATCTGTGATCTCCTAAAACTAGTCAAGGCTCAGGGCATATGTTCGCACAAGCATTTTTCTGGAGAGCAAGTCTGTAGCTTTCAACATCTTTCACAGGGGCGTGTCTTCCCCACACATTATGGGCTCTGGTCTAACGGAGCTCTTGGCTCTTTGGCACTGCCGGCATGCCTTCCTTCCCAGTCTCCTGTTTGCTTCCAGTCTCTGCTGACCTGCACATCCCGGCTTTGTCACTCCTTTGCCCTCGAGCTCCAGCCCAGGAGCAAAGCAAGGCAGCTGACCAACCGCTTGTTGAGCCTTTCCCTGTGCTGATGCGCTCTGGGAACCCCGGAGCCCTTGGCCATTCTCCACAGAAGCCCCGAGCATGTGAGGCTGTGAGCCTCGCCCCTCCCAGG